GATATTCATGTGAAACCAGTGGAGTTTTTCATTTCGAGTACACACAGGACAGCCAAAGTCCGTGTATTTTGCATACTTATCAAAACATAATAAATATAGTTATAATTGTAAAATTTTAGCGCGGTCCCTATCAAAACGTTCATAAAACCTTCACGAATTTGATATATATATATCGTCTATTAACAATATGTGAGCATTCAACCATAGCGTTTTGCTGACTTTGTACAATTTTTATTTTTATGTTATCCCATCGACGAGAATAAATCTCCTCTCAAATGATTAATATAAATTAGAATACGAAACATTTTTTTATTGCGTATGAAACAAAGTTCAAATTAATGAATGTCAAATTGGCGGCTCAACTTTGTCAATTATAGCAATACCTGCGAGTATCCGATTGCTAGGCCGATATGTTTATTGTCCATGCACATATCTTTGCTTTCAGATAGTTTGAAACATCATAGTTTTAACATCTTGACAAGTTCGAATCGGGATTCAAAAATATTATTGGCATCGTGAACGTTTACATTCGCATTGTACCACTTCATAATTGCTGATGTATAAAATGTTTTTTTTTACAGTCATCAAGTTTACCGTGCATTTCCAAATAGACTTCAACATGAAATAATCAGAAGTTTTGGAGAATCTGTTAATGTCAGTATTAGTTTGAATAAAAATACAATATTTCGATTGATCTTTCTGGTTTTTTTTACATATGGTAACATACAAATCCCTTCAAAACTACTGCCTATTGTAGTGTAAGTGTGAATCCTGTACAACTTAATAAAAAACCTACGATGGTTTCATTTTACAGTCTAATACCCTTGTGTCAAAATTAATATATTGCAAATTCAGGCCATGGCTGGGCTTTCAATCACGATTACATTTTCTTCAGTATTTCTTTATGAAGGAAGCATTTGAGCAGAAAGTTTGCGTGTATCAATTCAAGTCCAAATAAGCGAAATCGGGTTTCATATATTCCACTAAGAAATGGACGTATTTTTCTATTTCAGTTCGACGTCTGGTCCGATTATCGCGGAGAAGGAGATTTTATTGACTTCAGAGTTTCGCCAGATTGGAAGCCAAAAATTGACGTCTTACTCGCAAGAAACAGGTCAGTTGTTTAGTCAGTAGTTACTGGTGTATTCTGCATTACATCACCGTAGAGATCATCCGGGTAATGAGATCAGTCAATGTTTTTAAATACCGAGTAATAATGTATACTTGATCTTTAGTAGTAATATACTATTTTCTTTTTATGTAATCTTGCTTTTTTGAATGTGTGGCCTAAGTTTTGGAAGATTTATATCAACCATCAGAATAGCAATGCACTGCTCGATCTGTTAATATGTTCCGCTTGTCTTCGGTTGTTTGAACACACACCAGTCTTGCGGCAAAATGTCTTGTTGTAAGGAAGTATTTGGCGATATACCACCTATAGCCCTTAAAATTGAAGTCAATAGGGCACAGGCTCTTACGATACGCATCGTTTCTGTAGATCACTGATACAATTTTGAGACGATTATTAGAAATGAATTTTTGTTTAAAGAATCCCACACGAGGTTTTCGTGGAAGATCTTGAAGTGTCATTTGCAAATCGGGTAGATCTGAATGCACCAAGACTTGGACCTGCAGATCCGCAATTTTATGAGAAATACCATACTTTTTCTGAGGTAAATCAACGATCCCGATTATTTTTCTGCGCAAACATTTTGTATATAATGAGCTTCTCCAAATAGATTCTCAAATTTGGGTAAAATAAAAAAAAAATTGGTTTTTTGTAAAGCGACTTTTCAAAATCTGAGGGGCTTGAAATTTTTTCTGGGAAACTCAATATGAAGTTCAGGTATCCCGGCAATATACAGTATGTAATCTCAAGCATTCACTCAGAAGTATAGAGTATTATTCGATAGTGCATGGGATACAACACAAAACAATACGAAGTTCAACAAGATGGTCTGTATACGTTTGTTGAACCCGTTGTTCATTAACTCTTTCTTATATTTAAAATGAATACATCAGTTCCGACATACTATTGATGGCATTTCGCATTTTCAAGTCATATTATGTTATCACAATTGCTCATAGATATCCAACTGGATTGATGAGTTTGTATCTATGAACTCTGCCCTGGTAGGAGTTACCAACATTGGGAAAAGCTATGAAGGAAGAGATATACGTTCAGTAAAGGTATGTGAATACATGGAATTCATTTTTTATTCAAAATTTATTCTACAACTGCATGTCATATCAATACCGAAAACACATTTCTACAAACAACTTGCTTGCGTAAAAATAAATAACATATATATTATATTTATATGAATATATCTCAATATCAATCGACACGTTAAGATTTCATTGAAGCATCACGAATTGAACTCTGTTTCTATGATTTTTACGTTATCGGTAAATGATTTTGTAACTGCAAAATATAGGTATACTCAATACCCTCCCGATAATTTGGAGTTTCCACTAAGAGAAATGTGCATGTGAACAATGGATCTTTGCAACCAAAAATATATATATACTTTGAACTTGCAAAATTTGCGATGCTTAGTTTAGATTAAAAGTCCTTTTGGAAGTTGGCGCTCACAACGAAGTTAACAAGTTTTACAAACATTATTATCATTCATAACATTTCCCTACCTGCCATTTGAATGTACTGACAGATAAAACAGTTTATAACGACTTTGTCGAGACTGGATGTTGAAGTAACTAAAAAAATCGATGCCCGGGAAAACATCCATATGCCAACACCTTAGTAACAGTGATAACGTTACATTCAGGTTAGCACTGGAGCTGGTCGCCCAGCATTTGTCATAAATTGTGGATTGCACTCACGTGAATGGGTTACTCCGGCAACATGCATGTATGTAGCAAATCAAGTAAGTTTCCATTAATATTTTCAGAGTGAAATCAATATTACTGTGCTCGATGTACCTACGGCGAATGCTAATACTTATTATTCTAATAAAATTCCACGCAAAAAAGTTGTCACACGATGTTCCGCTGAATTCCGCCATTTCCTTTATTTGATTTGCCTGTCGTACTATGCTTACCCTACTATGTTATGGAATAGAGGTGTCTACTTTGCATTGATATAATTGTATCCTTGAATTTATTGTAGCCCCAGCGGCATATATTCCTAATAGAAGAGTATTTCAATATGTATCTAAGACGAGAGAAAAGTCGATAAGACAGCTTGATGATATGGCGTACCATAGCCTCTCTTTTGGTTACCAGTTAATATTGGGTATCGAGATAGTGAGACAGTTATTAGTTTCAGGTGCACGGACTGGATGATGGAGGAAGTCGTGGTAGTTTTCATATCTTCGAACATGTATAGAGAGGTTTCGGGTGATACCTGAGAACAAAAATACTAACGAAAATATATTTACCTAGTTGTTGCTAGAAAGATATCACATTTATTTGTTTCTAAATATTCTGTGAGATCTGATATTCCATATAAATGTGCTGTATAAATTGTTATGATGAGATCGCTATTTTCCACGTTTTATGACATCGTGACAGCTGGGAACGGTAGTCAACTGTGACAGATTGCATACCAGTAATATGTTCGATTTCGTGCCCATATTTTTGAGCATTGCTCTCTTGTTTCAACCCTTCTGTTCACATATGCCAATACATTGGGACATCTGTCATACTTGGTCATAACGTGACAATAATATGTTATTTTACGTTTATGTTGTGAAGTATTCCCGTATAACTAAAATTCTTTTAAGCACTCAACTATGATACATGCTTGATCCGATTGTTCGTAATCACGGTGAAGCATCATGTTTTTTTCGTATATTTTCTATTTTACTTCACGGTGAATTTTATTTGTATAAGTATTTCAAAGCTTAGAAATAAACAAAGAATCTGTTGTTATTTGAACGCGAAGTATCTTGAACGCGCGAGCAACCGTTCTCCGGAATATAATAAACAAACAAAAATACCATACAGCTCGAGCAAAACAAGCGATCAAATACTCTTCGATAAAACGAATACCGCTCCACTTCAGAAACTCAGTTATTCTTTGTTTGGAAGGTGACGTAAAGCTTGTCCAAAAGAGTACTTTCTCTCATTTTCCACCACGTGTTCGTCACAACGCTAAGAGTGAGAAAACTTTCCCCCTCTATCACAGCCATGGCGTACTGGGAATACTGTTAGTAAAAAGCGACGTAAATACGGTTTTCAACGGAATATTGGGGACGTTTCTTGCAGGTTTGATTAACTAGTTATGACGGTGACCTAGGCTTACCATACGTCCCGCTTTAGGCGGGACAGTCCCGCATTTTAGCGCCTGTCCCGCCGTCCCGACAAGTCAGCCAAATGTCCCGCTTTGGCGTTCAGCCATTCATCTTAATACACGTACATGTTCTCGTTACTGTTGTTTCTGTGTAGCGCAACGCTCGCCTACTTACTGAAAGTGAATGCGTTTGTTTCTTTGTTTCTCGGTAACATTGTTAGCTAAAGTATCGCATGTAAAATCAATACTAATTAGTCAAAATTTGAATTATCCGTACGAATTATTTGTAATTCGTTAACGTCAATTCCCTTCTATGTTTCGAACTGAACCCGATATTTGGACAGAGGATATGCGAATGAACTCTCGATGACAATGTGGTCAATGAAGACAATCGGGATGGCTTTAAAAATGTAGGCTTATGTAGTAAAATTGGAAACTGTAAAGTTACAAAATAACAGCTACGGGGTCGTTGTCTTCGGAGGCGTCCCGCTTTGAAGCCAGAAAACTATGGTAACCCTACGGTGATCGTACATTCGAACCCACGTACATTTGAACCCAAGTGTATATTCGCGGGTTCAATCTATATGCGGGTGCTAAACCCATGGGTTAGAATTAGTATGGGTTCAAATATCCGTAAAACAACAAAAATTTTCATAGGTGCAATCCGTTTGGATTTCGTGTTCATATATTTGAGCATCTGAGCTTGCGTTTTACTTAATGGTTAATCCAGCCCTGGTAACATGATTTTTGATTCCCTCACAGTTGACATCGGGGTATGGCATTGACGATGCAGTCACAGACGTGCTGAATAAAGTTGACATCTATTTCATTCCTGTCTCTAATCCTGATGGTTATGAATATACATGGACTACAGTAAGTTGAATAATTTCCGTGATTTACGAAATATTACATGCATTTATATATAAGAATTAAATCAATTCTATCCGCCCATATCATTTGCAATCTAGATTCTAGATCTAATTGCTTTTGCCCCCGCGTGAATTCCTAGTGTCGCAGATAAGTTTTTGCTACTGTGGTTTTTAGATCAGAAGACTCAAGATTCCTGATTGGTTGTTTATTAGTACGGCGACTCCACACCCAAAACATAAAAAGCAGCAGACATGACCAAAAAGCAGCCGGCCGGCAGCCCATCGCTCTAAAATAGGAGCAAGATATATATATTTACTTTCGCACGTGTAATGAGTGGTTGGAGTCTTTTAATGCAAATTCGGATGTTACGACAATACTCAGACCCGACAAAACAGCATTGAATAAGAAATAAGCATATAAACATAAAAAATATACAGTCTACACAACATGACCACCGTGACACTAATAAGAATGTGAATGCCACATGCCGGGAAATATACTTTTATAGTAATGTATTAAGCCTGGAATTCGACTCAATATGTGATATTTTTTACCAGGATAGAATGTGGAGGAAAACAAGATCTCCGGCGGCAAACAATGGTTGCCTCACAGATTGCAACGGAGTTGATCCTAACAGAAACTGGGACAATCACTGGGACGGTTAGTCATAACATTAAAACATAAATCACGTTTGTTATTTAACTTTTTAACTATTTAATATTATATATTATTTTATAACTATTATCTTGTATATAACGTCCAAATGCAGGAATTTGTTATGGTTTGCATAGCAGGATTATTGCCGGGCCTTTATACACTCTTCAAGTCAAGCCAGTTTACGATATCATGGCATACAATGTAGGTCTTTGTATTCACTTGTATATACTGTATGCCATACATGATTAATAGATTTCTTTTCAAAACACTCAGTGATAATCATTTATTCAAATACGGAATTTTACATTACTCGATAGTCGATAGATAGCCGATATTGATTACGAACACTGCCATAAACATATTGCGCAACATGGATTATATGGAAACATTTGATTTCCTAGGTAAATTCAAAACCTCATTTAAAATTGATAAATTTGTTTAATTTTGAGCATGTTACAGATTACGGTGCCAACAATGCAAATAGGTTTGAATAATGCTAAACCAAACAGGACTGATTATAATCAGTCATAACAATCAGTTATAACAAATCATTTTTATTCTTACTGTCATACTCCATCCGTCGGGAGAGCTGTTGAACCATGTGCTCATAAAGTGTAGTATGTGAAAGTACTTTATTGAAATATAACAAAACTATTGGTATTAATTACGTATTGTATTTCATATCAGCTCCTGGAGGATCGAGCACTAATTGTTGCAGTGACACATTCCGGGGACCAGCACCCTTTAGCGAGGTAAGTGCTTTAGAATCAAAATTGCAATTTAGCGAAGTACCTGGTCAGGTGCCATCGAAACCATAGATTGGAGATTTCTATTGCAAAACGTCTTATGCGTGTTGATCAAAACAGCTTCACGACTACACCAGTATAATTGTAAAAATTACAATGAAAGAATCTACTTCATTTCTTTAAGACAGATGTCGGTAGATATCCGTTGGCAGGAAAATAAAATATTTTATTGCAACAATATTACAGAAACATATACGACAAATTTTCAACGTGGGGTATTATTTTTTTAGACAGAACATTTATGACAGGAAAAAGAATTATTGAAGTCAGAATACACCAAACACAAGTGAATTGATTCACTATATCAGATTATCAGAATTTTTTCGCTCTCTAACTTTTTACAGGTCGAGGTCAACAGCCAAAAGGAATTTGTGATGGGCATTCCAAATGTTAGAGCTTACATTGATGTTCATGCTTACAGCCAATATTGGATGTATCCATATGGATGGTCGAATACTCCAGCGAAGGACGCAGCTACACTGGTATGTAATCAATTGTTCTTGTGAACCTTTACCAGTCTTTTAAAACGGATCTGCCATTAAATCTCTCAAATATTTCGATCGTCACCACTGCTTGTCTCTAACTGGCCATCTGGTGCATTCAACTCCTCGGTACATACAATCTAGATTGGCCAAAATCATTCTTTTCAAAAAATATTGAATAATAATTTCCCAATCTGCCAATTCCTAATTAGATAATAAAACCTAAACATTATTGAAAAGGCACAAGTCGGACAAGACAGCATAGATGCCATCCGAGCTGTTCACGGCAAAAGATATGTCACCGGATCTATCGCCGATGTTATTTGTGAGTTCCTGTTCATCAACTTCATATTCACCTTTTTGTGGTATTTTATTGAATAAGATACTTACTCATGTTGGGAATCGGACAAAAGTACCAAACGGTATTGGTTTATGTAATTTTGAGCTAAGAATAAATTTTATTTATTTTTCAAATTTCAGATCCTTGATCGATAATATTTTGACGGTTTTTCACTGTTTTTGCAAAGTGTTTTAACGGTTACGCACTGTATAATTAATAAAATCCCTTGTATTCAAGATTCTAAACTTCTATTTCAACAGATGTGGCGACTGGAAGCAGTGCAGATTACTTCTATGACGCGGGAATCACATGCTCATTCGCAGCAGAACTTCGAGATCAAGGACGTTACGGATTTGCCCTTCCAGAAGCGTAAGTTATCGTGTTATCTTTTTAATATTGTTTTATTAGATTTATCGTCTTCTTATATCCCAATTTTGATATATATTCTTTAATTTCTTCACAGACAAATTGTACCGACTGGTGAAGAAGCGTTTGCAGGCCTGATGGTAATGGCACAAGCGGTTGCCGATGGAACGTGTTAAAAATCACTGCTTCAATATTGTAACTCTTCGCTGGAATGTTTATTAATTTGTAATTATTTTTAGCTCAAAATCAAGAATAGCTTACTTCGGGGAGAACTATATACCATATTGTTTGTTTATTTATTGCTTAAGCTGTTAGCATCGGAAAATTCTCCATAATATACCTTGGATCTGTATTTATGATGGCATTACATTAGGCAGAAATAAATGATTACTTATATCCTCATCAAAAGATTCTTTGATGTCTTGATTTTGACTTACAATAAAACAAAATTTGAAATAATTTGGTGTATAATAATAATAATGAATGCCTGCCTTCTGATGAAGTAATTTTTATCAGAATGATCTTATAACGATTAAAGACAATGTTTAAAATGTATTTGTTTGTAATCTGGGCATCTTTCAAAGCAAGTGGTTAAATCTTAAGATGTTGTTAGCAGTTGACGAAAGTTTTGCTTTAATGGACCATGCAAATTATTTAAAGCAAAAATGACAGATTATAATTAGTAAGTTTAAAACACGTTAGGATTTTGGCGATATGACTTGATTTGCAATTGTAATTTAAATGACCGGGTAACAGATTTTGAGAGTTGGGTCGCACATTAAGACGATGCTGCAATTTGTTGTTGGACCTTTGTGTATGTGTATTCCAGCATTGCTCTATATTTTATTACACAAAAGAATATTTTTTTTGGAATATCTTTGAGAATGAATTTGTCATCAGAGTGTTATCTCAGTTCATTTTTCTATTATTGGGCCACTGAGACGATCACGTTCCGTCGATGTTTGATTAAGCCAAGTTAGAGTAGAATAGCATCTTCTAACATGTTCCAGATGCCTCTAAAGAAATCTGACACATGCACAGGAAAAATGCCAATGACTTCTTCCATCATTCGCATACAGTATCATCAAGAAAGAAACAAAAAATAAAATTAGACAACATCTCTTCAAAAATAAAAAATATTGTAGCCCAATAAAACAAGTTATTGAACAATGAATCTCCATGCACTAGTTGGAAGATGGCGAAAAAAAGCCAACATCATTTCCAGTCGACAAAACCGAGATGCCAAGAAATCTGATGGACTTGATACAGCAGCTAAAATGTTTATCAATTAAAATTTAAACGAGAATAATCAGTGTGGATATAATCATCTACGGACACATACTGGGAAAATACTGATGAAAAAGTGCTTCTCGGGCAGGGGTGGGCACGGTTTTTGGACCAGCGGCCAAACATTTTGCCCATCTGGACTGGCGGGCCACATAAGTGAGTCGTAAAAAGTTACATTTTATAAAAAATATTCTGTGTTGCAAAAGTGGAAAACAAAAAGCCTCGTGCCAAACTAAATTTAATCGCAATCTCAACAAATTACTCGAGATATTTTAGATAAAACATCAAAATTTGGTTTTATTCTGGTTGTGACAGCATCAGGCGGGCCAGATTGAATCACCCAACGGGCCGGATTTGGCGAGAGAGCCGTCTAGAGCCAGCAAAAATTTATATTTCGGGCAATTTTGTTTTATATTCTCTATATTATTTTATATTCTCCATATTAAAAGCAACTCTATGCAATACTTTGTTTGACCTTCACTTTGTAAGTCAATCTTTGACATGCAGTAACGAAACTTTTTTTGTTTACATATCCACGTTTACTGATATGCGTGAAATTGTTTGTGAACACATTAGTCAAAAGTTAGGGATATTTATTCATCGTCGAGAACTCGTGATATTTGTTTTTGTGTCGAAATATTTACATTTGCCATCTGTTCCCGTGCATTATCACAATTACGTATGAAAACGTAATTCATATAAACCACATGAGAACTAACACCTGCTTACATATTTATTCCTGCCTACCTAAAACCTAATTTTAGCCTATCATATAATAAGTTTATAATTAATAATACCTAGATCTACGGAAGGGGTGGCAAACACGTCGATCGCGATTGACCGGTCGATTGCCACATCTCGATTAGTCGATTGCGTCTGGTGTTGAGTGAATTCAAGAGAATACCCCCCAAAATAGCCTCGAACCAGTTCCATGCAGCGCCTGTTGTGTTTTTTTAAAACAGGATGAATACAGTACCGTACATGCGTAAAATACGATATACAGCACATACAGTATTTGAGTCTGGGCGAGCCCGATAAATCATATTAATAAGTACCAAATGAAAGTTTTGCCAAGATTTTGAAATTAACTTTCCGAATATTCTGTGTCTTGACTGAGGAACGATCCTACGATTATTTCTGCAGTAAGCATTATTGTCTCACTCCAAGAATATTGTGATAAATGGTATTCGCAACGGTAGCAGTGGCATTAGAATGCGGAATTTTTTCTAATGCCAAGCGTCTGGTAACATTTATTTGAAAATATTTATTTTTTGCTGTTTTAATAATAAGATAATTAGCAAAGTTTTCTGAGGAACTTTTAACACTTACGACTAAAAATTAGTTAAGCTTCAGATCTAAATTGTATGATTCGAATAAATCTCCAATAAATAATGAAAATTTACTACTGGTATGATTACATAATCAAATTAACAAATTGAATGAAATAGAGAAAATGCAAATTTTTGTGGCGATTCCATAGAAATGTGCCCACAAAGCCTCCTTATTGGCAGCGGTGGATTTTTTTGTATGCGTGTGTGCGGTTATCAGCATATTCAGCGATTTTTAAGATTTTAGTCGGTCGAAAGCAGGTCGGCAAACTTGATCTAGGAAAATATTTATATTGATATCTATAGAAGATTAATAAGATTTAAATAGACATGACTTAGAACTAGAACGTGGGATAAGTGCGAAATTACGGCGAGTTTTGCCAAGCTATTAACGGTTTATGGTGAAAGTTGTGAATTCTGAATGAAAATAAGTCCGTTTCTAACAATACAAATTAAGAAATATATAATGGATTGCATGAATACACAAATGGAAAAACTCTAACAAGAATGCGATAAAAGTGACGAATTGCTGATTAAAAATGAAAAAATCGACTTCAATTTATACACATATTGATGGCTTTTATGGATCTGACTCCCATTCAAACAAAATCTTTAAAATAAAGGCAATGCAGCCACAGGATATAATTAATAAAGAAATTTATTAGCATATTCATTCTCATACTTCTTTTAAAAATACAACATGAAAAGAAATCCTTTTAGTTGGAAATGTTTACGGAACTCGCGTCAGTACTAACTGTTTTTCAAAACTACGAGGGAGGTGGATGGTAGCTTCACATCATTCTAATAAGCTTATATTAAATTAAACGATGTTTCGGAAGTTCAAATGTGTGTTCTTGGCAATTCATTGTCGACTTGTCTACGGTTTATCAGCGGTATGTACATATTTGTTTTTAAAATAGATATTTCCACAGAGCAGGGGTGACGTGTTCAATTTTAAAACACGCAAAAAGTTGTATAAAAGCGTGCGGCAAAGTTCCTTCAAATCATAAACCTTTATCCAGAAGATGAAGATTGCAATATTGATCAGCGCTCTCGTGAGCGTTGCATTGGCAAAAGTAGACTACACTGGGTAAGATTATGTTTGCCAAATGGCTCTGCACAGTGCTAATCATTATTTGACTCACTATTTTAAGTTCTCATATTACATACAATCCGCCTAAAGAAAAGCCTGAAATATTATTGTACTTGGTCCGAATTAAAATATAAAACAATCCCAATAAATGATTTTAATTTATTAAATAAGAATAATATGATTTATTCATTTCCTATATAACTACTCAAGTCTCTCTCCTCCCTTAATGATGATATATTCAAGTCGCACAAGATTCCATTTAAATTATGCACAGAACAGGTCAAAGTCATGGCGTGTACACTCATTAAAACCTACTAAATATAACTATGATTGCAAAATTGTTTAGCTATCCTAACAAAAACTTTCTTATAATACTTTCGAATTCAGTAAATTTCAATTCAAAAAAGCTCAAATCAGAATCTAAAAATATTATTGCACATTCGCATTGTAGCTCTTCTTTGCTGTTGTATCGATTTTGTTTTTTTATTTTACAGTCATCAGGTCTACCGTGCATTTCCGAATAAACTACAACATGAAATAATCAAAGGATTTGGGGAATCTGTGAATGTTAGTATCAGCTTAAATAAAAACGACATTATTGATTTTGCTTTACACCTACCTGTGACAACATGCCAATAAACAATTTAATAACTTTACTTATAAAGTATAAATTATTTACAATATGAGGAATACACTACGAAAATTGTGTTACAGCATTATATCAAAAGGGTTAAAAACGATCACAATTTCGTTTAAATTCATTATCGCAGAAAAGTTACAATGCCGATCAAAGTAACCGATTCAACATTCATATCTTCCACTCGTGAATAGAGGTATTTTTATATTTCAGATGGACGTCTGGTCCGATTATCGTGGAGAAGGAGATTTTATTGACTTCAGAGTTTCGCCAGATTGGAAGCCAAAAATTGACGTCTTACTCGCAAGAAACAGGTCAGTTGTTTAGGCAGTAGTTACGGGTGTATTCTGCATTACATCACTGTAGAGATCATCCGGGTAATGAGATCAGTCAATGTTTTTAAATACCGAGTAATATTATATACTGGATATTTAGTAGTAATATATTAATTTATTTTTATGCAATCTCGCCTTTTTAAATTTGAGGCTTAAATTTTTGAAGATTTATATCAACCATCAGAATAGCAATGCACTGCTCGATCTGTTACTATGTTCCGCTTGTCTTCGGCTGTTTGAACACACACCAGTCTTGCGGCAAAATGTCTTGCTGTAGGGAAGTATTTAGCGATATACCACCTATAGCCCTTAACATTTAAGTCGATAGTGAACAGGCTCTTACGATACGCATCGTTTCTGTGTAGCACTGATACAATTTCGAGGCAATTATTAGAAATAAATTTTTGTTTTAAGAATCTCACACGAGGTGTTCGTGGAAGATCTTGAAGTATCATTTGCAAATCAGGTAGATCTGAATGCACCAAGACTTGGACCTGCAGATCCGCAATTTTATGAGAAATACCATACTTTTTCTGAGGTAAATCAACGATGCCGATTCTTTTTCTGCGCAGAAATTCTGTATAAAAAAATGAACTCTTCCAAATATTTTCTCAAATTTGGGTAAAATAAAAAGAAGTTGATTTTTTGTAAAGCGACTTTTCAAAATCTGAGGGGCTTGATATTTTTTCTGGGAAACTCAATATGAAATTCAGGTATCCCGGCAATATCCAGTATGTAATCTCAAGCATACACTCAGAAAGAAGTAGAGAGTATTATTCGATGGTGCATGGGATACAACACAAAAGAATAACGATACGAAGTTCAACAAGATGGTCTATATAGGTTTGGTGATCCCGTTGTTCATCAACTCAGTTCGACATAATACTGATGGCATTTCGCATTTCCACGTCATATTATGTTATCACAATTGTTTATAGATATCCAACTGGATTGATGAGTTTGTATCTATGAACTCTGCCCTGGTAGGAGTAACCAACATTGGGAAAAGCTATGAAGGAAGAGATATACGTTCAGTAAAGGTAGGTGAATACATGGAATTCATTTTTTTCATTCAAAATTCATTCTTCAACTGCATGTCATATTAATACCGAAATCACTTTTCTACAAACAACTTGCTTGCGTAAAAATAAATAACATATATATATATTTATATGAATATATCCTAATATCAATAGACATGTTACAATTTCATTGAAGTATCACGGATTGAACTCTGTTTCTATGATTTTCACGTTATCGGTAAATGATTTCGTAACTGCAAAACATAGTTATTCTCAGTTATTATACCTCAGAGTTTTCATTAAGTGTGCATGTGAAAAATAGATCTTTGCGACCAAGAATATATATATATCTCTTATACTTTAAACTTGCAAAATTTGTGATGCTTAGTTTAGATTAGAAGTCATTTTGGGAATTGGCGCTCTCAACGAAGTTAATTAAACGAAGCAATTAAACTAAAGCTCATTGGACGACAAAATAACCATCGAGTTAATTGATTTTTACCTAAATATCGAGTACATAACTAAAATATGAGTAAGTGCTAGCAAAACGACAAAAACGAGATAATGTCTGCAACCATGACTGAAACTCTGTATGAGTAAAAAGGTGGCTGAGCGGCACCTAAACTTTCATTTAATGCGTCACCATTGACAACTTTCCGATTGACCAATATTGCGGAAATCGATGGTTGGGGAAACATTCATAAATCACCGCTTTCAGTAACAGTGATAACGTTACATTCAGGTTAGCACTGGAGCTGGTCGCCTAGCATTTGTCATTAATTGCGGATTGCACGCACGTGAATGGGTTACTCCGGCAACATGCATGTATGTAGCAAATCAAGTAAGTTTCCATTCATATTTTCAGGGTGAAATCAATTCACCTGTGCTTGATATAACTACCGCGAATATTATTACCTATTATTTTAATAAAATTCCGTGCAAGAAAAAGCGTTCCAAATTTGTCACACGATGTTCCGCTGAATTCTGGTCGAGTCAGCCCCATTTATTTGTGTTGCCTGCCGTACTGTGCTTATTGCTTACCTTGCTGTGTTATGGAATGCGTGTGTCTACTCTACATCGATATCATTGTATCCTTTTTATTGTATCTCCGGTAGCATATATTCCTAATAAGATGAGCAAAAATATATTTCCACCGGTCCAATATTGGGGTACGTGTCGTGTGACAAACTCAAATTATTTGGTACGAAATCAACCTGAGGATCATTTTGTTATTATGCTTCTGCTATTGTTCTTCCTCCTGTTACTTTTTGAAAAAAAATCTCTTATTTTATTGACTGATGGTGATAGACCAATTGCTTCAAGGTTGTGAGTGGTTAAAAATCGTACTATTTGCTTTTGTTTTTAAATATTCTGTGAGATCGGATATTTCATCTAAAATGAACTGTATAATTTTTTATTATGAGAACACGTTCTTATAACACCGTCTTAAACCGCTAGTCGACTGCGGCAGATTAAAAATGTATGTTGTGCTACCCAGGCACTAGGCCTATTGGACACGAAATGTACGTATGGATCGTTGTTATGTCAGATCTGTTGTTATTTCTCTTCAATTAAAAAAAAATTGCTTTGAAATTTTTTATGGTTATAGAGTGTATTTTTCGCTAGAAGACTATTAAACTTTTAGGTATTTTAAAAAATTTCCGGATTTCTGTAGAACTTGTTTTTTGTGTGCGATGAAGTTGACACAATTATAAATTTTACACCTTGTGGCGGTTGTGTATTCGCGTAAGTTGATATCCGGTGGCTAGGCGAAGTCCACTGTGACAGATCGCATCCCCTTAATCCGTTTGGACTTCGTGTCCATATATTTGAGCATCTGAGCTTTCGTTTTACCCAATGGGTAATCCAGCCCTGCTAACATGGTTTTTGATTCCCTAACAGTTGACATCGAGATATGGCATTGACGATGCAGTCACAAACGTGATGAATCAAGTTGACATCTATTTCATTCCTGTCTCTAATCCTGATGGTTATGAATATACATGGACTACAGTAAGTTGAATAATTTCCGTGATTTACGAAATATTACATGCCTTCATATATAAAGCATTATATCAATTCTATCCGCCCATATCATTTGCAATCTAGATTCTAGATCTAATTACTTTTGCCCCGCGTGGATTCCTAGTGGCGCAGATAAGTTTTTGCTACTGTGGTTTTTAGATCAGAAGACTCAAGATTCCCGATTGGTTGTTTATTAGTACGGCGACTCCACACTCAAAACATAAAAAGCAGCCGGCCTTCAGCCCATCGCCCTAAAAAGAGAGCAAGATATATATATTTACTTTCGCACGTGTAATGGCTAATGGGTGGTCGGAGTTTTATAATGCAAATTCGGATGTTACGAGAATGTCCCGACAAAACAGCATTGAATAAGGAATAAGCATATAAACATAAAAAATATACAGTCTACACCAGGGGTTTTCAAACTTTTGGTGTTGCGGAGCCCTCGAAAATGTTGACTATTATTCACGGAGCCCCAAAATAAATGTTAAAATTGTTACTTTCAGGTTAATATTCCTGAGCAAGTTAAAAGTACTTTACTCAATTTAAATGCTGAACCTTTTTAATAGGGTTAATACAAGTCATAAATGAATCTAAATTTCAAACATAAATTATATATTATACTAAAGCTGTAAATTTGACACTTGACAAACATAATAAATTAGGGGTCAAATTTTTTCCCTCTTGACATTTTTGGAAGACCTAAAAGGCCGCTAATAATGTGCGCGATTGCATTTTGTTACAATCGCCGATTTTTTTCCTCCAGCATGGCGTGTTTTTGAACCTTTAAACATCTTTTCGCCAGTGTTTATTCTCCCTAAATCAAGAATTTCCCTCGGCATATACATGTATTGTTACACAACGACGACGTTAATTGCTTTTTTGTTCTCGTGGGGAAATATGAGTTCAGTGTAAAAAATATGTTATCATTTTATAGTCATCGGCGACGAAATGCTAAAAATAATAATTAATAAAGAGGTAAATCCGCAACTCAAATTTCTTGATTGAAAAGCGGCATTCTAAAATATTAAAACTAAAACTTAAAATGGAAGATCACACGTTTGGTTTCAGCAGACTCACCACTGATTGAAAACGCTTTTATAGACATTGAAAATCACAAAATTTGGTGTTATGTTAGGTTTTCATCGTAGTAACTGCAAAATCGAAACACAGTCAATTGTGCGCGCGATGTACCTTTTTTTCCCATTTTGAAACTACCGGCGGAGCCGCACGCAATCAATCGTGCGCGCCATCCGCGATGTACCTTTTCATTCTGAAACTACCGAACGAGCCGAATGCAATAAAATAAATTTCAATTTTTCGTATTTTGCCCAGACATTGTGAATTTTTAAACGACGATATCTTGCTTAAAAATAATCTCAAGTGCGAAAGAACAAATCAAGTTTGACAAATCCCAAGATCGCAAAAATACGACTCCAATTTATTAATAGTTGGCAGTTTATCACATATTTTATGTTATTTTTAGAATAGTATTCTTCAATTTTAGTAATCCTAATAGTAATTTCGAATCAAACGTGAGTAACGATGAGCACAATTACATTATAACGACGAGACACGTTAAATGCTCGCATAGGTCATGGATTAAATATTTTACGCAACAGCAATCTCGTTATCCGTTTTTTAAATCGCGAATGTTGCGCGGAAATTTCCGATTCTAATTTTGAACCACCCCCTCTCCTGGCTGCGCTCCTGCTTATAAATAATGTTATTTTTTAATTGCGCCTCTTTGCCAAATTTCGAGGCTATATTTTTGTCAGATTTTATCAAAGCTGTTATTGCTTTTTTGAACAGTTACAAAATTGGTCAGTATTTTGAAGAGTAATCAAATAGCTCGCGGAGCCCCTGGGTTTCTCTCGCGGAGCCCCGGGGCTCCGTACGGAGCACTTTGAGAACCTATGGTCTACACAACATGACCACCGTGACACTAATAAGAATGTGAATGCCACATGCCGGGAAATATACTTTTATAGTAATGTATTAAGCCTGGAATTCGACTCAATATGTGATATTTTTTACCAGGATAGAATGTGGAGGAAAACAAGATCTCCGGCGGCAAACAATGGTTGCCTCACAGATTGCAACGGAGTTGATCCTAACAGAAACTGGGACAATCACTGGAACTGTTAGTCATAATATTAAAACATAAATCACGTTTGTTAATTAACTTTCTAACTATTTAATATTATATGTTATTTTATAACAATCATCTTGTATATAACCTCCAAAGGAAGGAATTTGTTATGGTTTGCATATAGCAGGATTATTGCCGGGTCTTTATACACTCTTCAAGTCAAGTCAGCTTACGATATCATGGCATACACTGTAGGTCTTTGTATTCACTTGTATATACTGTATGCCATTCATGATTAATAGATTTCTTTTCAAAACACTCAGTGATAATCATTTATTCAAATACGGAATTTTACATTACTCGATAGTCGATAGATAGCCGATATTGATTACGAACACTGCCGTAAACATATTGCGCAACATGGATTATATGGAAACATTTGATTTCCTAGGTAAATTCAAAACCTCATATAAAATTGATAAATTTTAATTTTGAGCATGTAATCATTACAGATTACGGTGCCAACAATGCATTTAGGTTTGAATAATGCCAAACCAAACAGGACTGATTATTGTTAATCCACATAACGAATCATTTATATTCTTACTGTCATACTCCATCCGTCGGGAGAGCTGTTGAACCATGTGCTCATAAAGTGTAGTATGTGAAAGTACCTCATTGAAATATAACAAAACTATTGGTATTAATTACGTATTGTATTTCATATCAGCTCCTGGAGGATCGAGCACTAATTGTTGCAGTGACACATTCCGGGGACCAGGACCCTTTAGCGAGGTAAGTGCTTTAGAATCAAAATTGCAATTTTGCGGAGTACCTTGTCAGGTGCCATCGAAATCATAGATTGGAGATTTCTATTGAAAAAAGTCTTTTGCGTGTTAATCAAAACAGCTTCACGACTACACCAGTATAATTGTGAAAGTTACAATAAAAGAATCTATTTCATTTCTTTAAGATATCCGTTGGCAAGAGAATGAAATATTTTATTGCAACAATGTTACAGAAACATATAAGACAAATTTACAACGTGGGGTATTATTTTTTTAGACAGAACATTTATGACAGGAAAAAGAATTATTGAAGTCAGAATACACTGCACAAAAGTGAATTGATTCACTATATCAGAATAAAATTTTTCGCTCTCTAACTTTTTACAGGTCGAGGTCTACAGCCAAAAGCAATTTGTGATGGGCATTCCAAATGTCAGAGCTTACATTGATGTTCATGCTTACAGCCAATATTGGATGTATCCATATGGATGGTCGAAAACTCCGACGAAGGACGCAACTAAACTGGTATGTAATCAATTGTTTTTGTGAACCTTAACCAATCTTTTAAAACGAAGCCATTAAATCCCTCAAATATTTCGATCGTCACCACTGCTTGTCCCTAACTGGCCATCTGGTGTGTGCAACTCTTCGGTACCATACAATCTAGATTGACCAACATCATTATTTTCAAAAAATATTTAATAATAATTACCCAATCCGCCGATTCTTAATTAGATAATAAAACCTAAACATTATTGTAAAGGAACAAGTTGGACAAGACAGCATAGATGCCATCCGAGCTGTTCACGGCAAAATATATGTCACCGGATCTATCGCCAATGTTATTTGTGAGTTTCTGTTCATCAACTTCATATTGACCTTTTTATAGTATTTTATTGAATATGATAGTACTAACATTGTGAATTGGACAAAAGTACCAAATGACATTGGTTTATGTAATTCTGAGCCGAGAATAAATTTTATTTATTTTCAAATTTCAGTGCCGTGCTCGATAATATTTTGACGGTTTTTCACTGTTTTTTCAAAATTTTTCACTGTATAATTTATAAAATTCCTTGTATTCAAGATTCTAAACTTCTATTTTAACAGATGTGGCGACTGGAAGCAGTGCAGATTACTTCTATGAGGAGGGAATCACATGCTCATTCGCAGCAGAACTTCGAGATCAAGGACGTTACGGATTTGCCCTTCCAGAAGCGTAAGATATCATGTTATCTTTTTAAATATTGTCTTATTAGATTTATTGTCTTCTTATACCCCAATTTTAATATACTGTACAGGGTGGCATAAAAGTAGGTATACAGTTATTTTATTTATTTTTTATTACCTTCCAAGAAGCTAGAAAACTGATGTAAAATTCACACTAGATTTATTATCTAAAAAAATAAGCAATTTTTGTGGTACTCAAGTAACCCAAAGTGAACTGCAAGTAGCTTCAAAGCATATAAAATAGTTTAATAACTGTATACCTACTTCTGGGCCACCCTGATATATTCTTTAATTTCCTCACAGACAAATTTTACCGACTGGTGAAGAAGCGTTTGCTGGCCTGATGGTAATGGCACGAGCGGTTGCCGATGGAACGTGTTAAAAATCGCTGCTTCAAATTTGAAATTCTCAGCTAAATTGCTTATTACTTTATAATTATATATAGCTCAAATGAAAAAATAGCTTAGTTTGGGGAGGGGTTGCCAACACGCAATATATCAATGCTAAACTGTTTGTTAATTTAGGCTGTTACCATCGAAAATATTTCATGATTTTGGCTTGCAATGAAACAAAACTAGAGATCATTTGATGCATAATAATAATGAATGTCTGCCGTCTAATATTGTAATTTTTATTAGAATGTTTCTATAACGAATAAAGACACTGTTTAAATTGTTATTGTTTGCGATTTGAGAATCTTAAATCAAGCGGGAACAACTAAATGAATACGCCATGGAAAACGTTGATTTTGTGATCGCAGTAAAAATGCCTCTTGTACGATGCTAAATAGTAGCCAGATCTGAGATACCAAATCGAAAGCATAGACATAAACTATAGACAGGAGTGCAATATCATTTAGCAAAAGATCATCACTCCAACGGCGTAGGACAGGGGTCGGCAACCTACGGCCCGCGGAGCACTATAATCCGGCCCGCGACGCTTCACTAAATTATGGTAACAGAACATCCGTTTTGACGAATATATTCTTTATATTATAACCTAACAATTATATAATTCACAATTACTCGTTTATTGAGCATATAATTTAATTATAATTAAGCAAATGGCAACAAAACGCAGAAAAGTTGATGCTAAGTGCAAAGGGTTCAATGGCGCCAAATGGGAATTCAAATGGAATTTTATGAGATGCAATGAAGAAATAAATCTATACTCTATTTGAGAGATGTATCACTGCTTGATTTTTATTATAAAAAGTACCATCCGTTCGATTTTTCAACTTTTTAAAAATATGTGCGGCCCGCCAATGACCTGCAACCTTAATTTTGGCCCGCGAGCGACAAAAGGTTGCCGACCCCTGGCGTAGGACGTAGGTACTAACTGATGCTATCACTCAACTAAAAATACAGAATGATCCTATGTGCGAGTAACACAATAAACGCTTCAGAAAGCCCGTTCCCAAAAGATATTTGAACCTTTGTTGCTTACCTTTATTGCAGTAATGGACATCAGTGGGTCAGTTTATCCGCAGTTACTCTATTTATATGACCATCACGCCAAACATTAGCTAAATAAATGGAAAATAAAACACGAAAAATAGACACTTGAAAAAAATTCCAGAGCTCAATGACAGAGGTGCGGCTCCCTAGAAACTCAGAAATGAGAGGGCGCCATGCGTGAAAAATTCAGTTGCCAGATTATCCGTCGGCATCGCTCTTATTTTATATTATTTATTTTCTTAAAGAAGCTTAAATAAAAAAGAGATGTTATTGATGTAATCCGTACACACATCTGGAAACTCATTGGTTTTTAAAATGTTAACACAATCTCATTCTAAATTTACAATTTTGTTTAGCAAAATCTAGCTTGTGTATAAGGGCTCATTCAATTACGATGAAAAAAGAAAGCAATCAACACATTCTGACGCAAAGTAGTTTTATTCGTAGCCAAACTTAGGTGCCTAAATAACTTGCATAATTAAAATGTGATGGCGTATTTTCAAAATCCGATGAATATAGCAATTATATATATATGCATAATTGTGTCGACGCAAAAAAAATTTTCAATACAATACTTTAAAACATTTCCTTTCATCAAAATCTAAAAATTTAACAAGGATATTATAGTGAAAAAGTGATATAGTTAATAGAATTTTGAAACTATTGTATATACAAAGCTAAGAAACTAATCAAATGATCAGTCTTCGCGTGCTGCTTGAAATTTAACTGAAATCTGTGTGAAAAAATGTGATTCATTGGCCATTCTCTCGGTTTTTAACTCCCTAAAAATATGTGCGGCCCGCCAATGACTTGCAACCTTTAATTTTGGCCCGCGGACGACAAAAGTTTGCCGACCCCTGGTTTAGACAGTTCACAGTTGCCGAGCTCAGCGGCAGTCTGATCAATAGGTCCTGAATAAATAATCTGAAGCGGCACTGATCGCAGTTCCAGAGGTGATTGTCAGAGTTAGACTGTTTGAATAGTCTGATCAATGTTCCATGATTCATAGTTCGTCGAGTTTAGTTCAGTTGGGTCGAATTCAAATGCTGTAGTGAGGAACCGCTTATATATTGTGACAGTCACTTCCATGGGCTTTGCAAGACGATTTATCTGTAAAACAAAAATACTAATGTCACAAATATTTCAGGACATAAGTTACTTAATAATATAAATTATAAAAGATACAACAAATACAATAACAACATAATTAATCGTCTGATAAAGCATGAAAAATTGTTTCATTGTGTTGATTTGATGTTAAAGGTGGGTTAGCAAGCAACATTCTATTATTTTATTCGATTCTACATTTTTTATTTTAGGATTTTCGACGTTTTCTATTTACATGAACTCGACTTAGTTTTCGAGACTCGAATTTTTATGAAAGTTGACCCGTCAGAAATCGATGATGACGTAGTAGTGAGAACTCGTCAACGGAGTTTTACATTAGGTTAAGGGCATTTTGGGCGATTCGCGTTTTTATTTTGGACGGTGTGTCAGTGACTTAGTTCTATTGGGTATTACAGTTTAAAACGGCGTAGTATGTTCAAACCTATACCAGTATTTTCAATTAATTTTAGTGCAATGTTGGCAATGACTGTGAACTCTTTCTGCTGAACTATTACGGTATTGCTGTATTGTAACATATTCTAATATTCTTAGTATTCTTTGTATATGAATACAAAGTCGGGTTTTGTTCTCTCTTGTGAGTCTATAATCCGTTATTTTTTGTTACATCGCCAGTACACGGTACCGTACAGTAAATTGACGTTATATCTATACAGTAAATATCCTATTCCTGTATTAAAATGCCTAGTCGTTGTGTAATTGGAGGTTGCTCCAACACTCACAGAGATGGTGTATCATTGCACAATTTTCCCAAGGATGAAGCAAGAAAAAAATCATCGGTTAAATTAACTCGATCTGATTACTCCTGTGGAACACACAAAATACCAATAATCTGCAGTGAACATTTCAGTCCAGAAAGTTATGCTGAAGTGGAGTCATCCTATTATGATAAGGGCAAAAAGAGAGTTTTACCCGAAGTTGCATTGCCTTCTATAAAAAGAGGCAGGGAATCTCATTTAGAAAAAATACAAGATATGTGGTGCAGAAAAGAGAGAGGGCAATGGTTTGTAGAAAGAGATTATCTAATGACAGGTCAAGTTTTCATATATGCATATTTATGAGTTTATGTTTATTTAGATCGCCAGTGGCTTTTCACATGATGAAGCTTCGTCATCACAGGTGCAGTAATATTATTCAGTAAAAGTTAGAAAACAAATATAAAATCAGTTATTCTTCTGAAATTTTTCTTAAAACTTTTCTTAGCAAACACTTATTGATCAAACTCAAGACCCAAAAGAGACTACGTGCAATAAAACAGTTACAGAGTTTAATGTACCTATAATAAATAAAATCGACTGTGAAAAATGTATTGCCTGGACATATTTGTTGGGGGAAAGTCTATATAGCGACTAAGTCTCAAATACAGCTTTCACTTTTATCTGATTCAAAGTAAAATGTATGTGATACAACAGAAATACCTATTGCATAATTGCATGTTATACACCTAAACAATATATCGAAGATACACGGTACGGAAAAAATAATATAAGTGCGCTGTACACCGATTACAGTTAGGCAATGAATTGGATAGGCAATGCATAACCGGAACGATTCCGGTTCTACCAATTAAATAATAGACCCTTACATGTCGTTAGTTATCAATGGCTGATTGTTACCGGCCTACGTTTGGAGCGAAAGGGGCGAGTATGCGTCGTACTTGAAAAAATAATTTTTTCTATTCCCTCCTTAACTATTTATGTTTACACTACTTGAAATAGTCATAGTTACAATCACTACGCACATGATAGCTAATGGTGTCTCGTACAGCTGGTAGTTTAATAGTTCATGTAAAGATTCTGAGGTCACCTAATGTTAGGGTTTTTTGCTTATGAGTTAGTTTTAACATTGCTTCCAGCGAAACTTTTTCTAAAATAACCCATCCACCTTTTAACCATTCAATGCAAAATGCCTTAGAGCGGCACTGAGTGGATGATATACTAGAACGTGTTTTGTTTAAACGCAAATCAAAAACACCAATATGTATTGCGACAACACATATTTTTTCGTTTCATCCAGATGGAAGCATGGGAATGCTTTATCAAGGAGAGACTTAAAGCAATTGTGGAATTTAATTGCTAAAATCATACAAGGTTTTCGACGCAGTCGTTAGCAAAGGAAATAAAATTATCCAATTAGAGTCTGCAATGTATTCATATACGTGGTAATGAGCTCGATCACATAATTTTAAATGGAGAATGTTTGTATTCAAGTTCATGAGGGTGAGCGTACAAAGCCGAGACTTCAATTTGTAAAAACAGAATTGAATAAGAACACTTTTACAAATGACGTAACTCGACATTGAATCAAAGTGGATTCACTCGAATACAAGTCGGCCCAACTCTACTAAAAAGTACGGCTAAGCTTTCACATTTGGTTTGGTTATATATTTGCCCTTTTTACTATGCCGAGATCAAAGGACGATATCAGAGGAAAGGTATGCAAAGGTAATGACATTTACGTGTGTAATCGTGAACAGATTCTTTTTTTAGTATTCGGTAAGTGGGTATTCGTTTTCAGTAATTTTTTGGTCCACCTAACTATTGCAGCAGCAAACGAGAAACAAAAACTGTGTAATGAAATTTGCAAATCAAATGAACTAAAGAAAACAACATGACTAATCGTTTTAGATAAACTGAATAAAATAGTTCGTATATTGGCCACGGTTGAACATTGTTGGTGGGTGCACTGTACGCAACTTCAAAAGTGTTGTTAACAAATGAGGGTAGCTCGCTATACTCGAATAAAAACTTCATAAGCTATTACAAGTTTCTGCTTAATATTTTCGATCGATTTCAGAATTGATGTATTGGCGATGTTATCCAAGCGCTGGGCACACCTGAGATGTGAAACTTCATGAATATTGGGGATCTACACTTAGAGCACATAGGAAGAAGCGGGGAACACATCAATACGAATTTATTCAGCAAAAAGTTTTTTCTATCAATTTGTGACTTGTGATACAGCAAATGAAAAGTTTTAATTTATTTTTGCTAATCGTTATGACCATCGCAAAGTCTCAATCGGTTCCCTCTGAGCATGAAACTCTAACGTTAACGTTTATCTAGTCCTGAGTCGTCATGTATCACTTGCGAGACATAACATTTTCTTCACAATTTGTTCGAGTAATTTTCAAAATTTTTAATTTCTATTTAACCTTAATAGGTACTTTTCAAATTATTATCTACTATAAACCCCAAATTAAACATTCATGAGAACAAGGCACATAGATATCAATATAAAAAGTAAACAAATGCAGATTAAATGTCAGCTGATATAAATGCTACAAGACTTTAAAGTTTTATTGACTTTTTATGTATCATTCGTTCATTCGTGCATATTCTCGGGGGATGTGAGTGATGGATAAATATAAACACGACAATATTTTTGATTTTACTTTTGCATAAGTCTCCTGTTGGCTTCTATGAATTGACACATCTGCTTTTTCAAGTTGGTTCGAAGAAGGTTAAAAAATTCCAAGCACTCAAGAAAATATCATTGGCAATAATATTACTGAACATTATCAACTATTACTTGCGTGTTTATCACTCAATGTAACAATAACAGGTCAACAAATATTGCGCTTGATATGGAAAACATAACACTTGAAAGTGTTTGCGCAATGGTTAAAATTAGAATGGCTTGTCAAATATTGGGTAATGTAGAAAGTGCTTGGTCATTCGAATGTTAATGTTTATATCAAAAGATTCTTCCAATGGCACCATTAGTTCCATTGATCGCCACGATGAAGATTCTAGTTTTGTTTGCCTTGATTGGAATCTCAGTAGCAGCAGTTGATTATACCGGGTGAGCCTTTTCTATACGTTTTCCCCATATTTGTGTGTCCAACCATAATTCAATAAAACTTTAATGATAGAACGACAATTATAAGTTGATTGAATGGTCGTACTCTTGTTTGCAGGCACCAAGTTTATCGATCATATCCTACCCCGGGAGAAAACGAACTTCTTCAGAGATTTGGCAAAGTATTTGAGGTACATTATGCTATATTTATACTAGACTATGCAATAAAAATAATTCAAAAACACTGAAAAGAACAGAAATTTAGATGATTAATAATTTTGAAAATAATTCAAATATAAATATTAGTAATAAATTAATAATTGTTTTGAACTTTTTATGGGAAACTCAACTTTTAGATAAATATTCTACAATTATTTTCTCTAAGCTTGATTTTTGGTCTGATTATCGCCATGGTGATGATTTCGTCGACTTCAGAGTGTCACCAGAACTTCGGTCAAAGGTTAATGAGTTTCTGACAAAAAACAGGTAATGCAACACGGAATATACTAGAATACTTTAAGGAAAATCGAATATTCCACTACGGAATTTTTAGTAAATACAATTACAACACAGTAGTTTCTGCTACAATGCCCAATAGCAACGAGCGCTACAACTCAAAAAAGCGAAATTTCCATTTTTATTACTGCGATTACACTAAGATATTACGATCTAGGAACCAAGTGACATTCTCAGCACATTGATATTCTACAATATTCTAATTTGTTTAAGGCTATGCGAATGACTTTGGCAGTTTTATAATATTTCAGGATCAACTACGAAATTTTTATTGAAGATCTTGGTATTGCCATCGCCAAAGAGAGGAAGCCTAAACTGTCGAAAATGAACGATGATTCGTTTGATTATTTTGTATATCACACTGTTGACGAGGTAATAATTGTTAAATGAAACATCCTGGAGAACTATCCGTGAATAAAAAGCAATTAGTCATAGCTATGTAGCAGTTTGCAGAAATTAGTCATACAGTGAATATGTGAATCAATATAACATTTTTGACGAAGACTGAATAGAATTTTTTGATTCTGAATCAGGAGATCGTTAAATGAATTTTTGCCTAAACTCTTTCATTTTAGCAATTCAAATAGCAAATGGGCAACTGTTTTGTAGTCTAGTATCTGTCCTTTATTGGACCTATAAAATCCGTCGCATTTGACCCTATTCAGATTGACGAATGGATTACATCGTTCACTAAGGACAATTCCTTTGCATCGGTGGTAACTATTGGATCCGGAAAATCGTATGAAGGCAGAAACATGCGTGGTTTGAAGGTACCTGTATAAACGCAATGGTATATAGACAAAATTAAAAAAAAAAGCATAGGCTACATGGAATTTTGCTATTCAGAATTGTGCTTTTACCCATTCGGATTTGTATGTATCACGAGATTGATTTGAAGAAGAAAATATAATCTGCATAAAGTTCAATAGTGCTATTGGAGTTGAATACCATCTTAATTAAACAGTAATATCAACACCGATAGAGTACTGAAATATCGTCACTTATTTCGCAGATCAGCACCGGGAGTGACAGACCGGCGTTTGTGATCAATTGTGGCATCCATGCTCGTGAATGGATAACACCTGCTACTTGTCTGTATACTGCAAACAAGGTTTTAAATAATATACGTAGAGACTAGAGAGTGGGACGCATTTTTGTGATTGTCGGAATAAAATTGATGACGCTAATTGTCCATTCCATAACCGTACTTAAAAAAGATTTTTTAATACATAATTTTATTCTCAAGCATATGCATAACAATAATATTGCAATTGCTTAAGCTCAAAATTTGTTTAAAACGTCATTTATCTATCGCCTATAAACTCTAATTATGAATTAATGCCATCCAAACTATTTGCATCTGTTAAATTATTCATCACTCGGACTTATTTTCCGAATGTTATAAAATAAACTCTCTATAATATATTTGATATTATATTTTACTTGGTAAATAATGCCTCAAGTACCGGTGCCGCTAATATTTTTTATTCTGTTGCAGCTGATGAACGAGTATAACATGAACATGACAATAACTCACCTGATGAATGGTGTTGATTTCTATCTCATTCCCTCATCGAATCCAGATGGTTACGCTTACACTTGGTCGAACGTTAGTATAGATGAACGACTTTTATAATGCAAACGTAAAACAACTTCACAAAATAAACCCATTATTAGTCCTAAGTCCATGATATTTTTCTCTATACGACCACAAAATAGAGTTCGGATAAGATATAGATGGACACGAGTTCATTATATTTCAACGTATTTTGTAATAGATTATTTTCTCTTCGAGTTTCATGGTAAATGTGTTACATGCGTTGCGAATTAACATAAATCAGATAAAAGATTTTACTTCCAGTAAAGCATCACATGTACCGAAAAATACGACTTTTGTGATGGAACCGGCTGACAAAAACTTTGAATCCCACCACTGGACAAACCTACATCGCTTTCAACAATAGGGTGCTCAATTCCTCTTGCAAAACGTACAATTTTGAATGCTAATATTGCTTGGGATTTTAACAATAAAAACCATACTTATTCTTCGTTTTGCAAACAGGACAGGATGTGGAGAAAAACAAGAAGCAAATCTGACATGTGTGACACATGCATAGGAGTTGACCCAAACAGGAATTGGGATTTTCATTGGGGTGGTATGAATTCTTTCATTTATATTTGATTTCTGATGATTGAACGTAAAAAAGATGGATTTACAAATATTATTCGACAAATATATAATTCCTCATACAACTCCACATGTGTGTCAAGTTCAATATCAATTTTCAGGTCGGTAGCGATTTTAAGTATACCAAGGTCCATTCTGGATGGGTCATATGAGGCGTACAGCCTGTAAGATAAATCATTAATGCCTTTGATACAAAACTTCGGGAATTTCCGCGGTCTTTTTTTACTAGCATGATGATGCTTGACATATGACGTTTTTTGAATCAGTACATTTTATTGACAATGTGATTACAGACTTAAAAGTACATAACCAATACGTCGAACTTTCCGGTTCCTAAGTTTTTCGAATTTCACTGTTAAAACATTTAGAAATTTCATGTACGAACTTGGGTACAAAACGTATAATATTGGATATAACTTCATTTAGAAGCAGGATCGAGTTCGGATTGTTGTTCGGAATCATACAAAGGCTCAGTCGCATTTTCTGAGGTAAATATTGCAACGAATTAAATTTTTTTTCAAAACAATTACTATGATCTTCGACTAACTAGACCAGGGTGATCCAAACCCAGGCCCGCGGGCCACATGTGGCCCGCTGTATCATTATCTGTGGCCCGCGTCACATTCGTTGATATAGGTAACAATTGGTGATACCCATAATAAATAACATAATATACCAATAATATATAATAAAAATAACTATAAATATTCCGGCACATTGTCGCATCACTAGCGTCGTTGAATTTACTTGTGACAGAGATAGCTAAGACAGTCAGTGGTCAAAAGTGACTTTGTTGGAGTAATTGGATTGTGTGCTTGAACAGCCTAAACTGATTTAAAAGTCGGTTATTCGATTCCGACACCCTTGAATGACTTAAAACTTCTACAAATTTATTTTTTCATTTGAAAATATTCGTTAACAATATCTCAATATTCACATAGACAACTAAAAATCAGTCTAGCATTATAGCCTACCCCTGCCGCGTTGTCTTTTGTAATCAGCGTGAACAGTAACACTAAAATTGGTGCCTATATGTCAGAAAATTTAGTAAATACTAATTAATGTCGCGATATTACACTGCTGTAGCATACTTCATAATTGCCGAAATTTATAGTAATCGATCAATCTGACGTGAAAGACGATTTAAAAACGCTTCGAAGGACCGATTTAAACAGAATCTCAACTCGATATGGGGAAAAAAGTATTTGCTTGAGGAAAACAAAGCCTAAATGATATGTCTCCAAGTTGTGTCGGTGATAAAAGAAAAAGTCTAAAGCGGCATGTTATCGACGTACGGGACCGCTTCTTTATGAAGACTCTTTCTCCGTTGTAAAGAGTCTGAAATCTAGTCGACAACAGGTAGGGAGACGAATCATTGGATGCCAGTTAGAGATTTTCAACGACCAACATAACTGTTGATTTAAAATCATTGGTTAATGATATATAATAATCAAATATCTTGGGACTAATATAGCCCGCGAACAACACAAAATTAATATTGTGGCCCCGACAACCTTGGACCACCCTGAACTAGGCTGTCGTCGTGTACTTGTGATTTCTCTACGCCCCCTACAGGCTAGATTAGAACAATATCTACCATTCTCTAAATTTGGAAATACGCCTATTAAATGAAAAGCTCGGAAAAGTATATACGACTACGTGTACGAAGGTCTTGATAAGTTTCGATACGAAATCATCTTTAAAATCATTTGCCTATAGTGGGTTCAAAATCATACATTTCTTTTTATAGATTGAGACAAAAAATCAACGAGATTTTGTTGAAAGTATAGAAAATGTTAGAGCGTACATAGATGTCCATTCTTACAGTCAGACATGGATGTATCCATATGGATATACAAAATCTCCGGCTCCAGATGCAGCTATATTGGTAAGTATTACAGAATTTGTACAATTTATTCACAACTTTACTTTGCATTTTCATGTGATATTTTAATCGCTTGTGCTGCCATGTCTTCAAAACTGTATTTGTTAGCTATAAATCTAGTAAAGTACCGGTGTATAGAGTGAGGGTGAGTACGAGTGATTTATCTTTTAAAAAGAGTAAAAATAGGCCAGGCTCACGAAAAATACGTTACAAGCAGAAAATATATTGTGCGAAGCGACTATATCTGAACTAATTGCACATTCTTGAGACCAGTAATTATTTTTTAGGAGAAAATTGGAAGAGACAGTGTGTCTGCTATATCCAGCGTAGATTCCCATGTTTTTCAGACAGGATCGATTTCTGATGTCGTGTGTAAGTTATATTACAGAAATTACTGTGTCGCAACAATAATGAGCATGGAACTTTTTTGCATATGTGAAGCGAACATCAGAAAAAATAACGATGCTCTATTTGGTCTGGAAAAGAGTGAATGAATGTGCATCCTACAAACACTTTATTATTATTTAAGGGCACGAAAATCTTCGCTGAATCGCTTTAAAAAAACTCATCAATCCATTGTATTATGTTTACTTTGGGAAATGTGGTTTTAGAGACCCTGCAAACCTTTGTAGTAATTTACACGTTTTCATATTTTGCTCCTCCTCTTCTAAATCAGGCCAATTTATTTATCATTAAAATTGATTCCTCTTCTAAATTGAATCAAAAGTGATCGCCTTCAACATATTTTTATGTCCAGATGTCGCTAGTGGAAGCACCGCTGATTTCTTCTACAGCAAAGGTATAAAGTGCTCATGGGGAGCAGAACTTCGTGATACAGGAAAATATGGATTTATTCTTCCAGAAGAGTATGTATTATATTTATAGTATGGAAGGATGCGGCGCACCAGGAAGCATTGTATCTAATTTTCAACAAAATAGGATATATGCATCATAAGTTCAGTAAAGCAAACCATATGTTGTTGACCTAACGTCACGTCCCATGCGATGGTGCTTCGAAGTTTCGCCAGATTGTACTCCACAATTTACCCCACGACGAGACAAATAAAATGGAATTTGCATATGCTGTTTTAATATAGTTGACTCACTTAATATAACTTTCTTTCTTTTATTTCGCAGCCAAATCGGCAAAGGAGCTGAGGAGGCTTTCCAAGGTTTATGTTATTGCGAAGAACATACACTGGGTCCTTGCTAGAGTTATGAAAGGAAAATGATCGTTTGAAAAAGAATATTTGAATATTTTGTGCAAAATAAACATTTTAAACGTAAGCGAATAAATGAATTATTCCGTATAAAATTGAATTACTTATCTTTATTACGGGGAATTATTAGCATATCATATGCACAATGACCATCTGACCACGCTGTTGGTTTGCAGACAAACAAGGTAGCCTACTCCAATCCAGCAGAGAACCATCTTTGTCCGTTCATCTCTGAACCGATTTATGGATTTGAAATGAGCTCAAGTTGTTGTTTACACGATGAAAAACTACCGTAATAAAATGCATATGATAAACGAAAGTCATATATAAATCGACTATAGCTGTACTCGCAAAGCCTTATTTTACACAACAAGCAGAACTCACGCAGGTTAATTAGAGGGGCGATGACAAACTTTGTTATAATCTTTTTCGTTTAAATTGCCGTGAATTCTTTAGAATCTGGATTATAGAAAGTACAAATCAAATTTGTCTAACAATGGATGTATCCTTTTGACTCAACCCTTAGGACTAGAAATATTCTTGCTATACTCAACCATTGCTATATTTTGGTGCTTATTTTAAGAGTGTTTTCCGCAATTTGCCTCTACAAACAGATGCAATGTTTTCAATCGTCCTATCGATTTAAAATATCAAACCCTCCATCATTTAAAATATTGATAGCTTATTTTATCTTATCGATAGTCCATCCGCAGCCTCTTGGGGTCAATTTTTGATTACTGATACTAAATAAATCTAAGTCATTCAAATCCCATCCTACGCGCAAAAAAAAAATGGCATAAACAAAACAATTTTACCAATCCCTCTTTTCTCATTTTCTAGTTATCTTTTGTTGTAAACGTGGGCAGTTTTATGTATAGAGTGATTTTTAGATGTGTTTCGATATTTTCATGACGATAAACATGGTCAAGTTTTTTGATAAGCGTACATTAAAATTGTAATGGGCGTGGAGCTTCCGCTGGCGTCTCTCCTCCTAGACCATGACATTCTGCCAAGCCGTTATAGTCTGTGAAATATGCGCTTCAACTGCGGCACCAATCTAGCCTTGGGTACTGGACGCGTTTAACATTGACACCTGTACAGCTAGCAACCATCTACTGAGGGCATGCTGGCGTGTTATTTAAACTAGCGGTACAGTACCGGTATCCTAACTAGGTTGAAAAACATGCCAGCATGCCTTATGAGAAAGGTTCGCTAAATCTGATTGAATACGTGAATGTGAATAAACTACCATTTCATCTAAACCTAACGACAAACACGGTATGTGGTGGTCCCGGCACTGGTATTCTGTTACCGGTATTATATAGTAAGAAGCACGAGCAGTTGGACCGCATATTTTACAGACTACAACGTGTTGGCAGAATGTCATAGTATAGTGAGAGAGACGCTATCGGAAACACCACGTTCGTTAAAATATCAATGAACAATTAGCAAAAACCTTGACCTTGTTTATCAATATGAAAAAAAAAGATTCTATCTTTAAAACTGCACAAGTCTACCATGAAAGATAACTAGAAAATTACAAAAAATGCTAATTTCTGCTCTGGTGATCACATTCCCCATAAGAGCTAATGTTAAAATCGTTTTGTTTATGCCACTTCTATTTTTCGCGCGTAGGATAGTTTTGAATGACTGAGGTCTATTGAAATGGATAGGATAAGTCTCTGCAAAACAAAATTACAGTCAAGTTATTTGATTTATACATAATTTTTGGAATAACAACTACAAACTGACGAATAGTTAGCAATGCCACCAAAACGAACCACAGTTTGAGAATGTGCTTTTCGAGGCTGTCCGCGTGGAATCGTGGATCGTGCTAAGCGTTAGGAATGCGTTCGCCACCACATCTCTGATTACCTTACGTGGGTTCGCAGTATTGAGGTGTCACCTCAATGGTTCGCAGGTACGAATCCTATACGGGGATGATTATGTGCGAGAGGATTGCTGGACTCCTCGCCGCCGTAGTTCACGTAACCTCTGATCGGTTAAGGCTTCCTCCACTATCAAGTCCATGCTTCCGAAAACAAATACCTAGCTAACTAATCCCATACCCGACAATCAACTCACGCAGGGTCACAATGGATTGGTAACCGTACGAAAGGCCATGGTTCATCATATGATTAAGCTGTCTTATCGACTTTTCGCTCCCCGCGATAAATATGTAAATCCTATTCTATATATTTCAATTGTTTCATCAACTTTACTACGGAAAATGAACAAAGACGTGATGCTCCGGGAAACATCGATTGCCTCAGAAGATATGTCCGCGATATCAGCGTTTTCCGAAGACGTGGAACTAATATGCACACTTCTTTTCCACAAGCTAGAATTTTGCCAAACCCCACAATGTGATAAGTAGCTAGAAACTATATCTCACTCGTAATGACCGGATATCTTTCAGCGCAAAATAAAAACTTCGTTTTTCTACCCCTCCCACATCGATGATTAGTTTTTGAATAGTGGACAACACATGCTATTCGAACATAGTTTTTTTTTATTCAATATTATATGCACATGTTATATTTAATCATAGCGCATTTTGCTTTTCGTTACTATTTCGGAATTTTTTTCACTTTGTCTCTTTCCAGTTTACGTTGCGAATGTCCATTTTATTTTCCTCGACCCAGATTTTTTATACTCACAAGTCAAAATAATTCGCTTCGTTTTATTTTTAAATAGGTATTGTGAACATGTTTGGAGCCTGTTTCAAATGCAGGACCGTAAATAAATACTAATACAGTACAGTGCAAACCAATGTCAACTAATGTCATTGTGCAAACATAGAGAGCCATAGTCCACAATTGAAAATTTATGCTTCAGTGCTTTGGGAGTAAATGCTTGACTGAGTTTCAGGCCTTCGATCTCTTTAGCCCGTCAGTATGTCGAAGAGAGGTTAGTGATTCTCGATTATATCCTGTTAGATCCTTATATTTATTCGAGTTATGGCTAATATAATAACGAGCTACGACGAATAAAATGATTTTTTAAATTTTAGGACGTGGAGGATCATCTGGAGGGAAGTTTCGGATGTCCATCGGCTTGCCCGTTGGTGCCGTAATCAACTGTGCCGACAATACAGGTAAGACTTTATACTTGGCGTGTCATATCTTATTTTTTTAATTCTGTTGCACATATTTTAGTTAGCTATGTGACTTCGAACTTGTTTTTACATATACAAATCTTTGATTTTGAACTCAACTTTTTTAAGGTGGCAAAAATTTGTACATTATTTCGGTTTATGGCATCAAAGGACGCTTGAATCGTCTACCTGCTGCAGCTGCCGGGGATATGGTTTTGGCAACTGTGAAAAAGGGAAAACCTGAACTTCGAAAAAAAGGTTTGTATTTTTATATCATCAAATCCTTACAAGCAGACCTAGGTTACAAACAAAATTTCGCTTGACTGGCAGTTAATCCTGTAATCTAATTTTACTGTATTAGTGAGATTGGGGCCGTGAAGTGTTAATAAATAGCAACATTGCAGATTCAACACCATGTGAATGGGTAATCAATCTTAGATAGCTGAATTTTGTTGATTTTTGAAAATAAAGTCTATTTCTGATCTACAATCAATACCGCAATACAATTTTTCGGGATCTCGTCTTTTTCGATAAAATGTACCCTAAAACCGGCTAACTTCATGATTACACTATACAGTACACTATACAAATCGGGTGACAATGTCCCGTTTCAGAGAAACCCATTTTACAGATGATCAGACACCCCTCCTTCGGGAGATGTCTGGACATTGTTGTCCCTCAATATCGGTAATAATACAGTTTAATGAAGTTACGCAAAATACTAAAAAAAACATCATCATTGGATTCCTTGGGAAAAAATAATCCGATTTACCGAAGGAAAAAATTTTTTTTACCGTGGCACTCGAGAGTTTTAGCAAAAAACGGCAATTTTGGTCATGTGACAGCCGCGATTAATTTAATTATTATTGGGACAAGCATGGCGCGATATGAAGCATCTGACGTGGTCCAGACGCCCCTCGCTTGTGAGACATATGGAGTGCTTGTTTTATTGAGCCAAATGGAGGGAAATTTGGATAGTGTGCTGTACTGCTATAATTGGAACCAAATATGATTTACCAATATAACGACTTGATATAGAAACTGTCAGATACGAAATTAGACATTTAGTCCTTATATAAATGATTCAATATTTCATCTGGAGTTGGCCTGCTTTATGTTACAACCTTAATTTCACGAGGATATTTTGATCTGTTGACATTCTTGAGCGCTATCTCGGCAATCCATACAAAAATGCTCATGAACCATAACCTAATAAGAAAATAGCCTACTTCTCATTTAACAGTAGTGTAAACCTAATTTTTTTATCACAAGATTGATAACTTCAATTCCAAATATCTCTAGTTCATCCGGCAGTTGTCATTCGGCAGTCAAAACCATATAGAAGGAGAAATGGTGTGTTTCTTTACTTCGAGGACAATGCAGGTGTCATAGTAAATAATAAAGGCGAAATGAAAGGTGAGAAATGCCTTGTTGCAGTAACTTAGAACTTCCATAATTGTAAATATGAGGATAATAAATGTCATAGATCAAAATTGAATCTGCTTCATATGAACATACGTCAAAATAGCTTTTTTGCAACCACAATGATGTTCCATCTTTCGGGTCTGATTCTCAATGCTGACATTTTTTTACTGAGTGGTGATGCAATTGGGTCTTTAGCCTCAATTCTCTGTAACATAATGGAGTGAAACAGATTGATTTGTCAGTTTTTGATTTTTCCTTACTGTGTGCATCACAGGCCTGTTTTCTAGAATCTTCTAATTGCTGGAATCTAGTGATTCGCCATGAGCATTATATACTAATTCGGTTTATTAGAGAACTTATTTAGGACTTGTTATCCTTGCTCCAGATAAATTTTGCAATCTCGATAACAGTATGCAAGCCTGTATCTCCAATGCATCGTTTTATCTGCATATACCAATTTAGTCATCTTTG